AGAGATTAAATTAAAATTATATTAAAATATTAAAATTAAATTAAATTATAAAATAAAAAAACATCCTTTATCAATCACATTATTAGGGATCAAGCATTAGTGATCAAACTTTCAATGCATGAGATTTTGAGAAAAGCATCCAAACTCTACTACAGAAAAATTTATACTAGATAGGAGATAATGAGTTTGAACAAGCAAACAGAAAGAAATAATTGTTGATATAGAAAATTAGATAGACTCAAAAGTCATCAAAGTGAAACTGAAAGTGTTTAGCGACTCATTTCTTGAGTAAGATGTAAAATACACCAGTGATGATTTCTGTCGGTTAAGCATTAACAAAATGGTGGCAGTAGTATTCATTTTAATAAAGTATGTAGGTAAGAATTAATTGTTGGCTGTAAGGATGTATCAGGATAAATATGGAAATGAAGTAACATTTCATAAACTGTTATTCAGCTTTTAGGCCAGGCATGATATAAAGAAATAGATTTGAGACTAACTTGTGTGTAAGCAGTGTGTTAGTCCATCTGTGTCTCAGAGATCTGTAGAGACAGCAAAACATGGGAACACAAAGGATCTGGGACTGAACTTCATGATTATTTATCATTTAATTATTAATAAATGAAAATATATCTGGAATACAGCTATAGAGGCCCAAGATGGAGTAAGAATCCAAGGATATTGTATAACTTTAATACACACACACACACACACACACATGCACACACACACACACACACACACACACACACACCACAACTTTATTTATAATAGTGTCTAGCATATAAAATAACTTACATTATTTTAAACTATGGAATTTATTAAAATATGGATTGTATAAAGATACATATGCACTACAAAGAAGTGATTGTTTTTTCTTACAAAGTATTAAGGGGATCATCTTATGAAGAAGCAATGATGAGTAATGGTCAGAAAGGAGTATTTTAATCTTTTCTTCTGGTAGGAAGCAGGTAGGAAATCAGCATTTAAACTCCACTTAAACAACAAAAGGGAAGTAACATATTGCATATCAAAAAGAACAAAAACACCAGAGAGTCTGGGGATACTGAGGACAATATAGGGGTGCATTTGGAAACTGGACAAAAGGAGGGAATGGGAATTTTAAACATGTAGTTTAAAGCACCATGTAAAGACACTATGGAAATAGATTAGAAGCAAAGAAGATTAAACTTTATAAATAGATTGCTTCCTGAGCAAAAATAGACATAATATACTTCATCCAAATAGTTTCTCTTTTAAATTTTATAACCTTCTCTGGTTTCTTTTTTTTCTTCTTTAACAAATACATATCTCATTGAAAATACATTTTAATATTGTATACCCTGATCATGATTTAATCTCCCCCAACTCCTTCCACATACTCCCCACCTCCAACCAACCAATTTGTACCCTTTTCTTTCTCTCTTTTTAGAGAAAACATTGATTCTAATATACTAAACATTTAACACACTGTACTTGGGTCTTATGCTTCATTCATTGTCATGGAATTCAAAAACAAAAGCTTCTTTCTTTGCTTACCAGTGACTTCTAATATTGGTGGTTCTAGTGAAAACAGATTAAAGAAAATAATTTACAACTAATATATATTTGTTTGACTAAATAAGGCATAAACTAAACTAAACAAATTCAGAGATTGATGTTTTAATTTATTTATATTTATTGAATTTTCTTTTTAAAATTTTATATACCAACCACTGTTCCCCCTCCCTCCCCTTATCCTTTTCCCCCCAACTCCCTCCATCCAATACCCCATTCACAACTCAAAGAGGGTAAGCCCTCCCTTGGGTAGTTAACACAACCTGGCATGCCAAGATGGGGCAGGACTATGCCCCTCCCTGCTGCACCAAGGCTGAGTAAGGCATCCCACCATAAGTAATGGGCTCTAAAAAGCTAGCTTATGTACCCAAGATAGGTCTTATTCCCATAACAGATCAAGCCACACAACTGTCACTCACATTCATAGGGTCTAGTTCGGTCTCACACAGATTCCAGTTGTCAGTCCAGAGTCCCTGAGCTTCCACTAAATGAGGTCAGCTGTCTCTGTGGTTTTTCCAGTCATGATCTTGACTGCCCTCTACTTGTTCATATAATCCCTCCTCCCTTTCTTCAACTGAACTCCAGGAGCTAGGGTCTCTGTATCTTCTTCCATCAGCCACTGGGTGAAGGTTCTATGATGACAATTAAGATAGTCACCAATCTGAGTACAGGGGGAGGCTAGTTCAAGTACCCTCTCCACTACTGCTAGGAGTCTTAGCTGGGATCATTCTTGTGGGTTCCTGTTGATTTCCCTAACACCAGATTTCTCCCTAACTCCATACTGGCTCACTCTGTCAAGCTATCTCTTTCATTGCTCTCCTACTCTGTCCCTCCCTCAGCTTGACCATCCCATTCCCTCATACTCTCATCCCACATCCCCTCACCTCTATCAGCCTCCCTCCCTGCCCCCAGTTTACCCAGGTGATCTTAACCCTTTCCTTTTCCTGGGGTGATCAATATATGTCCCTCTCAGTATCCTCCACTTTACCCAGCTTCTTTGGAGTTGTGGATTGTAGCCTTGTTATCCTTCACTTTGTATCTAATATCCACTTACAAGTGAGTTCATATTCTGTCCTTCTGGGTCTGGGTTACCTCACTCAGGATGATTTTTTTTTCTAGTTCTATCCACATGCTTAAAAATTTCATGATGTCATTGTTTATTACTGCTGTGTAATAATCTATTGTGTAAATGTACCAGGTGTATTTATAGGAAAATCATTTGTAATTAATATCAAATGGAAAGGTTCCATTTTAATTTACTTTATTTAATTTATCAAATATAAGAAATATTTCAATGAATATGCAAGGAAATTAATTTCTACTCTGAAATTTTCATAAATTATCCAGTTATATTGATCATGTAATTGATAACATGAATCATTACCTACCATAATTATCTTTTTCTTTATTAAGCAACAAGGAACAAAGACACAAAAAATCTAAGAAAATAATAGTTGCCTCTGTTTTCTCTCTTATACTTTACTTCCATTTTCATAAAGATTTTTGACATATCAGTAGTATCTTCCAGAAGGATTACAGTCAATAAAGCTGAAGGAAGTTGGAGATCTGAAGAGTATTGAATTCAGACATGAAGAACTTAATGTTTGCACTGCTCATTTTCAGTCTTGCTTTACTTTGGTATTTCTTTCCTATGCTACATTTTCTCTATTGTGGAATGGTAATGTATATTCTGTGTCATTGTATTTTGAAAGTATGTGATCTGTTTTTGATTTTGATTTTAATGGGTTTATGTTTAAAACACTGCCACGGGTGCCAGAAGAGTTTCTCTTGTTTGGATTTTTCTTCAGTGTTGATACAGTAACAGACACGGAGACTTTGGAAGTTAGACCGAATGCATTTTTGCATTATGATATGATTACAACTCTATGGGGGCCAGAAAGTTGAATGTGGTGGTTGACTAAGATCCCTCACCTCATAGACTCTTATCTTTGAATGCTTCCTTTTCAAGTAGTGGAACTCTTTGAAGGGATTAGAAGGATTTGGAGGTGTGGCCTTGTTGGAGGAAGTATGTCATTAGGGATGGGATTTGGGGTTTCCAAAGCCTGTGCCAGGCCCAGTCTCTCTTTCATGCTACTCCTTATGAAATAGGATGTAGAACTCTCAGCGACATCTACCGTACAAATTCTGCCATTGGGCCACCATGCTCCCTGACATGATGATAATAGACTAATCCTTTGAAACTGTACACAAACACTCAATTAACTCTTTCTTTTGAAATTGTTGTTATAGTGTTTCCTCGCAGTAATTGAACAGTAGATAAAACAGAAGTGTTGATACTATTTCTCAGATACCTTGATGAACTGCTAAATTACCAGACAATGCTAAAATCTTGATTACTTTCTGATTCCTTATCCCACTGGCTATTACAATCTTCTGAAAATTTAAAGCCTATTTGGTCAAGTCTTAAATCATCCACTTGATTTTTACCTGAACACATGGAATAGCTCAACATCATATTTTTCGCAGAACTACTACTGTGCTTCATCCATTATTTAGCACATGATAATCTGAGAGCTTTAATATCTGATTTTAGCCAAAAATTAAAAATGAATATACAATTACTATAATCCAATTTCAAATTTGTAACCCTTAATCTTCTATATGGTAGAAAGTATTTTTTCACCATCTTTATTGTGGGCCCTGATTTTGAGAAAACAAATTTAGAGCTAGGCAAAAACTTTAAATTCTATAACAATAATTGGGCATTTCGGAGTATAGTCTTTAGGGAGAAATACTATGTACTAGAATTCCAAGAAATGTAATAACTTTGTGACGCTTCTTTCATCTATAAAATGGGCTTCCCAACTTAACTGAATTGCAGTTAAGATCAATTTAATTAATTTGCTTCAAGCATCTTACATAGTCTAGTAAATATGAGCCTCCTTCAGCATTATGAATCAAATGAGATGTTCTTATTTTATGCTGCCTTTAATGTCTTGGTTCGAATCTTCTTTTTTAAGATTCTAGAGTAGCTGGGATGTATTAATACACAAACTTACACTAATTTTTAGACAACATTTTGCTAGAGATGCCAAACAATATTTATGCAAACATGTTGGAAATACTACTATAACTCATGGGAATAATATTGGTAAAATCAATGTTTGTTTCCATGTAGGTGTAGAATTCAAACCTCACTGTACATGACTCATGTAAGATATACAGTTATAAACAGTCATGAATCTTTGTTGTTTCTTAATAATTTTATTCATTTATCAATGTGGCCCTTCTCTACAAAACACACCAGTCTTTTTCAGCCTTCTCATTAGAATTATAAAGTTCTAAAAAAAGGGGGGGGGAGTATCAAAAAACACAATATAGAATTTCATTTTGTTTACCTTGGAATTGAAACTTAGTCCTTTCTTTTAAATTATTTTCTAAAATCTTGGTATGTTACAATTCATCTAACATTATAAATTTGTTTCCCTCACACCTGAATTTCTCCTATTAACTAGAGGGAACATTTGAATTTGCAACATTTAAAAATAAAAAGTATAATGTTTCTTTTGAGACCAGTTTTAAGTTTGCCATAAAACTAAAAAAGTTATAAACATGTTCTCTGCCCCCCCATATATATATGAGACACAGTGATATGGAGAGAGAGAAAGATCAAGTTTGAATGCCGTGGGTGCCTCATCATACATCTTTATAATCCAAAATAGTTCAGTGTCTTTATTATTCACTTTTCCTTCTTTATATCCTCTGGAGCACTGCTGTCCTGCTGCTCTATGAAGCACCATTTCTCAATTTCACTTCCTTTTTCATCTCGCCAGAGAATTACTCTTTAAATAATCTCTGCTCATTGTAAAATATTAACCTGCTCTTTTTAACCATTCTCTCCCATGTCTCTCTTCAGGTGTCACCGTTCTGAAGTATCTTCAGGTGAGTATTTGATTCCTTGTCACTTCATTCCATTTCTCACTTCCAAATTTAAAACAAACAAACAAAAACAGATTTTCATTGTCACATTTTATGTGCTAGCCACTGTCTTTAATTTAAATTATGAAATATTATGTTTTTGAAGGATATTCACCGTTCAAAGGCCTCTCTCCAGTTGTTCTGCATTCTTATATTTTCAGTTGTCTGGATCTTTCCTTTTACGTCACCTTTAGGACACGAATATGCCTTGAAACAGACAGAGAGACAAGAAATGAGCAAGCACAGGAAAGCATCATTTGTTCTGGGAAGTTATCCAATTTTTGATTCAAAAGTTACAGGAACCAGACAAAAGAAAAAAAAATATATAGCATGTAGACAGGAAAAGCAAATGCAAAACCCAAATCAGTTAGAGTTAGAAAAAGTAGATTCAGCCATGAGATGTCACTGTTTAAATACTTATTGTATGTGTGCAAGGGACCAAGCTCCCATTTAACCCAGTGATTTGTGTATGCATGAAATTGGCACAATTAGTTCAAATCAACAGCCTAGAGTCATTATGAAGCTGGTTGTTTTTCTTTCTTTGATTTCAATATTATTGATTAAAATAACAAATTAAAATGAATGTGAAGAGGCCTGTGATTGTGGTTAAACACAGCAGGAAATACAGTAGCATTGAGTCATCAGAAAAGGCATTGAAATGCTGTTCTTGGAAGTATGAATGCATCAAATTATTCTTGGCAGTAATTGATTACTTGCAATAGATAATTATTAATATTATACATAATCGCTCAACTTAGTCTGTAATTTTCAAAGTTTAGGTCACAATCAAATTGAACAAGAATATTATGGATAGGGATGCATTTCAATGAAACAAGAAGAGAATTCTCTTTTAAAAATAACTCTATTCATCAATATCCAACCTTGAAGTGTTAATGTAAATAAATTTTCCTATCAGAGAGTATAATACTCAAAAAGGACTAAAAATTTTGTGATTAAGCATATGATTTGGACCAGTCAAATAAAAATATTTTGTATTTTAATGAGTAACATTTACTGGTTGGTCTCACTGTGATCCTTTGATACATTTCCTCGTGTTGTGGGGAGCCCCAACCACTTTCCTGCTCCTTCATAACTGCAATTTTGCTACTGTTAGGAATCGCAATGTAAAAATCTGATATGCAGAATATCCAATATGTGACTCCTATGGGAGTCATGACCAACAGGTTGAGTACCACTGCTTTACACAGAAGTTAATTTTTAAATTTATTGTTTTCTAACCTATTAATTGAAACAAATATAAATAGAGTCCAACGAAACACAAAATTGACACAATTTAATACCTTCCCCAGAATTAAAACACATTAAAATGGCATGTTATGTGTGCTTGATTCAGCCATTAAAAATGATTTGTATTTTAAGAGTAGGGTCCCAAATATAAAATAATTAAATGAAGCAATAATATAGAATTTAAATAACAGGATGATATATATTATAAAATATCTTAATTTTTGTTGAATTTTCATTGTATGCTCACTGATAACATTGTTCCATATGACTTTTAAATTTTTTGAGTCCATTTAAAATATTTTAATATGAAACAAAAGTTCATCTTAAGTGGCAACTTTCATATATAGTTACATTTTCCTCACACACATTATAATAAATATATACCTCTGACTTTTAAAATGTTTCTGTATATCATACATAATGATCTCATACAATTAGTTCTGAGGATAAAAGAATAATCTATAGAAACTTATTTCCACATACTGAAAAAAAAAGTAAAATCATTCTCAATGACTATTAGGGTGATTTTTTATTATAATCTTGGTGGACACATTATGTTTTGATTTTAATGCCTGATATTTTTAGAGGACTTTCAACTTGTTCCAAAGAGAATTAATAGGGTATATTAGGAAAGCTCTCCACTATTATGTTTGTCCTTTTCTTTGTGAACAAGTTTTAGTGCTCTAATTCCTATTATTATTCATCATGTATTATTCACTGCTGATACTGTTGTCATATTTACAAATAATTTTAATTTGTATAAATGAAAGTTCATGTGCTTTACTTGCTTTACAATGTTAATCCAGTTATCTATCTCCTGCAAAGTCTTGCCGTGTACACCCAAACTTATAATAAACTTACAGTGAACAAAGTTTATTGGAGTTACGGGTGGCAGCATCAGTGCCAATTTTTAACCAAAAAGTCACTGTCTAACCTTGTGACCACACCTGACACCTGCATCAATGTAAATCTGCATTTACTGAATTCTCAAGTTCCAATGTATTTCAACATCCTCCATGACCATGTAAAGCTGAATGTTGGAGTGGGAGTAAATTGTCTTCATTAGTTTTCTATTGTCTTGACCAAACACTATGACCAAGAAAATTTATTAATTAAAAAACAAACAAAAACCAAAACAACAACAGGAACCATATGATTTGAGGGCTCATTATCCCAAAGGGTTAGAGTACATGACCAGTGTGGCAAAAGGCAGGCAATCATGGCACTGAAGTAGTAACTCAGGCTTGCATATGATCCACAAACATGAAAAAGAGGTAACAGGGAATTGGGTGTGCTTTTGAAACCTCAAAGTCAAATGAATTTGCATATATTGAGCAGTCTCTGCTGCTCTTCTTATCAGATAACCCATGAGCTCTGGCAAACCCAAACTCCTAAAGTCTCCAACACAGTCCAGCCTTAACTTCACAGCTTCACTCAATAGCCTTTGCTGTGAAGGAACTGCCCTATCACAAGCCTGGTCTCAGTCTCTGATGAACTGTGGAGGAGGAGTCAATAACCCTTTTATTCATGTATCCTTAAAGACTCTAAAGACTGAACCACATGGTGGATACTGATTCCTTCATGGAATGGAAAGTGGCTCCTCCCTGAATTAATCACATTTGTAAGTAAGCTTTGATTTGTTGTTGCTCTTTAGGAAAAGATGATTCTTCAGGCTTTTGCTTTTCACAAGTTGTAGAATTGGTAGGGTAGAGTCTCACCCTGAGAGTATCATTCTCTTTATTCAAACCTCTATCTCTTTCAGCTCCTACCAAGGGTCTAGTTTTAAATAACCTGGTGTATATTTTCTCCTCAAGTTGTGCATTTTGTATTTCACTTTGACCCACTTGCTACTATTTCCTTGTAGATCTGAATGAGAGGAATTACAAAAAAAAAAAAAAAAAAAACATGGCAGAATAAACACTAAGCTGTCTTAAAATCTCCTCTGCAAATAAAATTAGTTCCAACCTTTACAATAGTCCCATAAAAATTCTTAGGACAAAGCTAAAAAATTATACATGTTTAGCCACAATATCACAAGAATGTTCCCTAGCCCCACTGCTGATATTCTTCTCTGAAACCTCTTGAACTGCCTCCATAGTCTTCATTGTTCACAGCCCTACACGCTACAAAGCTCCTCCTAGGAAGATTCATTAAACCACACTTAGAGCAATCAGCTGCTTTTGTAGTTCAAAGTCCCAGAGTCTTGTTAATAAATAAAGTTGCCTGGGGGGTCAGAGCTAATAGCAAGCCATTTATCAGAAGTCTGGCAGTGTTAGCACATGCCTTTAATCAGATCACATGGCAGGCAGTCTATGTGTTCAAGGACACAGCCAGCTTGGTGACACATGCCTTTAATTCAAGTACCAAGCATAGAGACCTGAAGGTTTGTATAGGCAGGAAGTGACGAAGAAGTCATGTGGTTTGGTTTAGAACCAATGAGAAGGCAGAACAGAAAATCAATAAAAATACAGACACACAGGAAGTAGTTCTCTTTCTGAGAGGAAGGACTACAGCAGCTGGTAAGCTAAAGGCTACTCCCTAGTGCTCTGACCTCTTGGGTTTTTAACTCTTTATTTGGCTCTGTGTTTCTTATTTAATAAGACTGTTTAGAATTACATCTACGGAGTCTTCCACATTCCTCCAAAAGAAAAACAGCATGATGGGTCCTGCCACAGCAATAGTCCACTCCCAGACACCAACGTCTTTTGTAGTTGATTTTCTATTGCCATGACAATACACTATGACAAATGTGATTTATAAAAGAAAGAGTTAAGTTGTAGACTCACAGTTCCAGAGGGTTAGAATCCATGGTCCTCTTTTCAGGGACCTTGGCAGAAGGCAGTCAGGCATGGTGTTAAAGTCGTAGTTGAGAGCTTACATTTATGATTCACAAACATGAAGTAATGAGCTAACTAGAAACAATGTGAGCTTTTGAAAACTCAGAAGCTGAAGTGTGATCCTAATTACTCTTAACAATAAAAACTCAGAGTCAGATATTAGGGTGAAAGCTGAAAGATCAGAGAAGCAGAGCAGCCAGCCACTAGAAACTTCTTACCTTTTTGAAATCTCAGACTAAGACTGAATGGGACAGGTCCTGTCTCTACCTACTTTAAATTCCTTTTTCTACCTCCATAGTGCTGGGATTAATGGTATGTGCCACCATTGCCTGGATCTGTTTCTCATTTAGACTGGTTCAGTATCACATACTCTAGGGTATCTGTGAACTCCTGATCTTCCTGCTTTCTCCTCCCAAGTGCTGGGATTACAGGTATGTGCCACCACTGCCTGGCCTCTATGATTAACTAATGGCTAGCTCTGCCCTCTGATCGCCAGGCAAACTTTATTTGTCAGAACACAAACAAAATATCACATATCAAAACCCCTGTCTCAGTGACACATCTCCAACAGCTAGTAATCTTCTCAAATAGTTCCACCAATTAAAAGATTCAAATATATGAGCATATAAAGGCCATTCTCATTCATACAACCACAACAGTTGTTACTGGAATCTCAAGTAAGGGTCTGATGACACTCCTTCTCCTCCTAACCCTCAGGAAGAAATGCCAAATTTGCATTTCCGTATGCCTAGTTATGACTGTATTCTTACATTTTTTTTTTTTATTGCCCATGACTTCTGTGCCAGCACACAACAATCCCTGCTGCAAAACTGCATGTAGTCAAGCTGGGTCTGTAGAATTCGTTTCCTCACAGAAATTTTTAATAAGTTTGGTGTTTACAAATGCATGTACTCAAACTGCAAATACAATCAGGAAATATATTTATGACACATTATTTTCTATATAATTCTAAGCACACAACTCTGCAAAAATTCATGTATAGAATTAAAGCTTACGTTTATATCCTGTAATGTTGGTATATCATAGAATTTCAGACTTATTACAAACATAATTTTGTCTGCCTTCCAATATTTTGTAAAAGGTTTTACAACATTACCAACAGCTTGATTAATGAATCAATAATTCTACTATCAATCATTTGTAGAAGTATCTCACAGTAGTTTAATTCACTCTATGGTTAAAAAAATTATATTTTTCTAGTTCTAGGTTATTGTAAATAAATATATTCTAATATAACATTGTCAAGTTCTGTGACTAGATTTTTTTTTCCAGAGCTGAGGACCAAACCCAGGGCCTTGTGCTTGCTAGGCAAGCGCTCTACCACTGAAGTAAACCCCTAACCCCTATTTTTTATGACAAATACCTTTAGTAGAGTTTGCTAGGTGATATTTTAAGCATGTTCAATGCTATAAAAATTTACGTAAGAGAAGGTAAGGTCTCCCTTGGGGAGTCCACAAAGGAGAGTGGGATGGGGGGATGGCGGGGATGGGTGGGTATGAGAAGGGGATGGAGGGGGAACTGGGGTTGGTATGGAAAATGAAAAAAAAATTCTAAAATAATAAATAAAAACAAGCTACCTAATAATTTTTCTTATCTGTTTTGACCATGTTGTACCTATATCATCAACAATATTGATATTGGTTAACGTTAGGGTTCAGTAGGTTCCCCAAAATTTTTCTTTTTTCTTTTTTTTTTTTTTGTTTTTTTTCGAGACAGGGTTTCTCTGTGTAGCTTTGCGCCTTTTCTTGGAACTCACTTGGTAGTCCAGGCTGGCCTCGAACTAACAGAGATCCGCCTGCCTCTGCCTCCCAAGTGCTGGGATTAAAGGCGTGCGCCACCACTGCCCGGCTCCAAAATTTTTCATGTTCTTGTATTCTAGAACAAAGTGTTGAACAGAAAAACACAGGTTTTACAAAGGAAAGAGTGTTTATTAAGAAAATACACACTTACAAAGAATTAGCAGAGCCAATGAAAAAATGATAGTTTAGCAGCTCAAACTATACAGGTACACAAATGACTTGTGATTTCATGGCATTTATTGCTGTCTTTGGAGATCATTAGCATAACATGGATACTGGGCTCATTTTCATAGTACAGGCCTTTTCACTCTTGCTCTGCTAATGGATTTCTACACACAACTTCATACATTACTTGTCTCTTCAAGTTATTAAATTTCCTACCAAAGAATTGTGCTTTCCTATTTATAATGATCTTTAGACCACTTTCAGAAATTCTGGGGTGGCTCTATATCTGTGTCAATGACTTCATAAGGTTTTGGTCAGCCATACATATGTCAGAAACAAGTTAACTGATAAAATACATATCTGGCAATTTTAGAACTTAGTATTTAAAAATTACTGTTAATAATTTTACATGTTACCATCATGTAAAATTGCTATCTTTAAGCTTTATCTAGTGCTCAATTCTTTCAAATATTTTTATTATTTTTAATTTAATAATGTTAGATAAACACTTTATCATTGATCCTTGAAAAGTCTAATTTAACGACAAGTAGAAAACCTAAATTATCTGTGTAACTGAAAAAAAGAAAGGACATGATGAAGAACAAGACAGAAATGTTACATTACATTGTAGTAAGAAGTTTTCTTGTCCCTGCAGCTGCTGGGACAAGTAAACAAACAGAGACTTATATTATTTACAAACTGTATGGCCTAATGGCTCAGACTTCTAGCTAGCTAGCTCCTATAACTTAACCCATTCCTATTAATTTATAAGTTGCCAAATGGCCATGGCTTACCAGTGCTTTCACATGTTGCTTTGTGTGGTGGCAACTGGTGTCTCCTCTGCCTCTCTTTTTCCTGTCCCTGTCCTGGATTTCCAGCCTTCCTCTAAGCTTCCTTGTCATAGGCCAAAGCAGTCCACTTATTAACCAATGGGAACAACATATATTCACAGCATACAGCAAGACATCCCCCAACACTTCTTCTTTTCTATTTAATCAAAAAGGAAGGTTTTAGCTTTAATATAGTAAAAGTATATATAACAAACTGTTATCAAGCAAGAATTATAGTTATAATATCTAGTCTATTTGTACTTGGCAAAATTAAAGAAAATATTTTATCACCTATCTTATATTTTTGAGTCTAAAGTTTCATATATAATTTATCTTTTATCATAACTAAGGACAATTATAATTATACCTATCTAGTCTTCAACTGTAGGCCACTCCTTGGCTGTGACCCTGGAGGGGCAGTTTTCCACCAGTCCTTGCCCAAATCAGGCATACTCTGAGCTCCACAAAGCCCTCAAATGGCTCTCTCCAGCTCTGTACCACAAAGTCTCCACCCTGAGAATCCCTGCACAGAGGCTGTCCTGGAACCCACCACGCATCCGGGCCACGGTGCCCATGGCAAGCCGAGTGCCATTCTGCACCGTAACAATGAGCACACCGCATTACATCACATTCTTATATTAACCTAGAATAACTGCCATTATTTCTACTTTGTAAAATATTGTAAAATCTGCTTTTTCATTATCCATGGTTTTGAAAATACATTAATATATTTCTATAAGCATATGGTCCACCGGATTTCATAATTGCTGTGAAGAGTAGAATAAATTATCCAACTTCTATTAAGTCTGTCAGTGGAATTTTTTCACTCATAGTAAAATATGCTATAAAACTTCAGTTCTTATTTAATTTATAATAAGTTAAACAAAACTGATTAACTAGGATTTCTTAGATATAAGTATAGTTAAAATGAATTAGCTGTCACTCCATTCTTTCATATACTACAATGCTTATGCTTAGTTTTTTCATCTTTTACACTGAATTCTTTTTTCTTAATACATTTATTTTAATTAAAATATAATTTCATAATTTCTTCCTCCCCTACCTCTCAATAATTGCTCCCATTTCCCTGCATCCAACCACTCTGTTACCTCCTATTAATCCCTGTCAAGTTCATGGCCTCTTTCTCTGATTGTTATGGCTACCGATATGTACAAATATGTAAATATATTAATTTCAAGTGCTAAGTTTTTTAGTGTTGTTTGTATGCACATGATGACAGAGCTGACCACTTGGTTATGGGACACTCAATTTGAGGGCTCTTCCCAGGGAAAAACTACTTCTCTCTCTCTCTCAGTAGTCTTTAACTAAGGACTATAGTTCTTTATCTAGGGGTAGAGCCTCTTGAAATTTCTCTCTTCTCCATTCCCATGTCAATTTAGTGGAGTCATTCATTGTTCTGGTTTTTTTTTTTATGCAACCAAATTGTTGTAGTAGCAAAGTAAACTTTCCTGTCACTTTAGGATACACAAACTGACAGCAGACTTCCTCGTCCTCTGGCTCTTACAATAGTTCCTTCCTCCACCATCTTTTCTGTTATGGTCCTTGAGACTTTTCTATTGGAGTAGTGTTTTGGAATTATCTTTCAGGCTGGGCAACTTATGGTCAGTGGTTTTCTATATTTTGTCATATCCTGATTTTCTGTGCTCATCTCCGTCCATTGTAAAGAGAAGCTTCTTTGACATGGATTTGAAGCTACACTTTTCTACAGGTATAGGATAAGCATTTAGAATGCAGTTAAGAAATGTACTGGCCTAACAAAGTGATGGTAGTAGGTTATTCTACAATGACATTTACTGAACATTCTACCCAACAGTAAAGAAATTATATTATTCATAGCAGAATATGGAACTTACCTCAAACTTGATCTCATATTAGGATATAAAGCAAGTGTCACAAACTATAAGATAATAAAATAACATCCTTTAGTCTAGTTTACAACAATTAAATGAAAGCTGGATATAAACAGCAATAGAATTTAAAGAAAAAGCAATTTACTACCTAATGATAATTAAGTCAAGGAAATAACACAAGAAGAAAAATTTTAAATTTCCAAAATTGAAAGAAAATTAAATAACAAAAACCAAAACCTATGATACATAATGAGGGCAGTACTAAGAGAACTAAGTCCTTACATCAAAAAATTTGATAGACTTTACCTTAGTAACTTAATGATGTTCCCCAAGGGCTTAGAACAAACAACATCCCTCAAACACCCCAAACAGTTGATGCAAAGAGATAAACAAAATCAGGCCTGAAATTAATGAAATACATTTTTTTTTAAAAAAGTGAGAAAAAAAATAAAACCTGGAATTAATGAAAGGAATAGTTGGTTCTTTGAATAGATTAACAAGACTGACAAACCTTTAGATAAATTAACCAAAACAAAGAGAGAAAGTGGTTCTAAGTAATTAAAATTCAGATGAAATGGAGATACTACAACAGACTCTGAGGAAATTTAGAGAAACAAAATGCATGCTTTAAAAATGTATAATCAAGCCCTTTGATACAACATGGCCATGTTGGGGATTGGGGTGTCCATAGATGTTCAGAAGCCACATTGAATCACAGCTTTTCTGATCTGCAGCCAGTGGCAACTTCACTAGATCCTAGACCCTAACCATAGGAGACTGATCTTTCATGGGTGGCCACTCTGGGCCCCCAAGGCAAAACCCATTTCAAAGAAAATGAAGCTAAAGGAGAAGTTTGCAAGAACAATCACACTGCTGCCACAGGAAAGGGACACTGGATAACAGGCATGGAATCATATGGAACTAATGAAGCAAGGAAGAAATTACCATTTACAAGAAAAAATGAAGCAGAAAAACACACTTGAATCCTAAGGAACTACACTGCAGATCTCACTTTAAATCAATAAAAACCAACTCCTGTCCCACTTTCCCAGGCTTGCTCTGGTTTCTTTCTGGTCACCTGGTTGCTTTATGCCAGAGATAATAAAATCCTTTATGTCCCTAATAAGTCTTTACAGCAGAAGAACTCAGTTACCAAGAATGACTTAAATTCACTACTGGAAGACTTGGCTCGGGGCTTTATTCCTTGTTCTGTTCCAGTTGAGACACCTGTGGTACTGGGTTTGTTATCCTTCCCCATTAATGGAGAACAAAGCCAGAACCTTGCAAATGTTAAGCAAGGACTCTACCTCCTTCTGGTTTAGCTTTACTCTGGGATTTTCATCTCCCACCATGCTCTGTCCAAAGCAATGGAGGCAGCAGGCTTCTTGGTTTTGTCAATATATTTGATTCACTAGCAGCCTATACACTTAGTCATGTATAGTTGCAATTCAATGAAATTTTTGATGAAAAAGAAAACATTAAATATATATTCCACAAAACTGGAAAATCTGAAAGAAATGAATGAATTTCTAGATACATATAACTTACCAAAATCAAGCCAATGTAAACTAAATAATTTAAATGGGTACATAATCACCAATGAGATAGAAGAAATAATTAAAATATACCAAGCAAAAAAACAACTCAAGTGAAAATGTATTCAGTGTAGAATTCTATCAGATTTTCAAAGAAGAACTACCATTAATACTCATTAAATTATTCCATAACATAGAAATGAAAGGAATACTTCTAAATTATTTTAAGAATCCAATCTTATGCTAATACCAAAACTAGATAGAGAACCAACAAAGAGCAGGGAGAGAGAGAGCAAATTATGTCAATATATAAGTCAATATAGGCCAGTATTTCTGATGAACATAAACACAGAAAACCTCATTCAAATACTTGTAAGTTGAGTTCAGGAACATATCCAGAAGATCATTCACTATGATAAAGTCAACTTATCAAAAACTGAAGGGATAGCACAATATATGTAAATCAAAAAATTCAATAAAATACATAAGGCTTAAGAGCAGAAATAGCATGAGCATCTCATTATATGCCACAGAGATCTTTGGCCAAATCCAATATTCCTTCAAGATAAACATGGTAGTTAATCTAGGGATGGATCTGACTTATCTTGAATCTTGATTTAATAAAGACAGTGTTCAATAACATCATGCTAAATGGAGAAAAACTCAAACCATTTCGCTACAATATAGAGGTGTACACACTTTCTTCTCCACTGCAAAACAGTACTTGACAACTTACCTCAAGTAATAAGACAAGAGATGATAAAAAGTATACATATATGAATAGTAGAAGTAAAATCATCCTTATTTGTAGGTTACATGAATCTATGTATCAAAACACTAAAGGCTCTACCAATAAATTTCATGAACATGTTCATCAGAGTAGCAGGAAACAAAGATGTCACTCAAAAATATCATTAACTTTCCAATATAATAACAACAAACCTAGCAAGAAAATTATCAATGGCAGTATTCCACTCACAAAAGCCTCAGAAAGTATCTGGAGATGAATATAAATCAAGGACATGAAAGACTTACACAAAAAAACCTTTAAGACACTGAAGATATAAGCTGAGAGGATACCAGCAGATGAAATACCCTCCCATGTTTATGGATTAGTATGATTAATATTATGAAAGTGCCCATATTGCCTAAATCAATTCACAGACTCAGTGCAATGCCTGTCAAAATTACAAGGCAATTCTCCATAGAAATTTAAAAAAGAAATCTTAAAATTTGCATGAAAATACAAAAACCCAGGATATTCAAAACAATCCTGAACAGTAAAATCACTATCACTGGTATCACCATCCTTAACTCCAAGTTATACTAAAGAGCTGTAATATCAGAACCAGCATGGTACTGGCAGGCAAACACGCTCACTGGGTATGGAGAACACAGATATAAGTCCATATTCATACAATCACCTTATTTTTGCAAAAGATTCATAAAAAACATAGTAAGAAATGAGAGTATCTTCAACAAATGATGCTAATCAAACATAGAAGCTACATGTAGCTTCTTGCATTGGTAAGATACACAGTTTCTCAGCCAACCCCCTGATCTACTGGCTCTTAACATTTTCTGACACTATCCTCTGCACTGTTCTTTAGTTTTTTAGTGAGCTTTAGTTGTGGGAGTTATATTGCAAAGTATCCTTGGGAGGGAGCAAATGAAAGGGTGAAATGCTGTAATTATAGAATAATCTTGAGGATAAAATTAAAAACTTTATCCTAACAAAAACTAAAAAGCTACATGTGTAAAACTAAGTTAGATCCTTATGTGTCATCTTGCAAAAAACAACTCAAAGTGAATGAAGGACTTCTACAATACGACCTAATAACCAGTCTGATAAAGAATAAAGTGGAAAATATGGTCAAGCTTATGGGCACAGGAAATGGGTTTCTAAACAAGGCCATTGTAGAACAAACATTCAGACCAAACACTGACAAAGGGGACTCCATGAAACCAAAAAAATTCTGTTAGTAGCAGAGACCAACATAATGAGAAAAAGATTTACTAGCTATAAGTCTCACAGAAGATTGTAATACAAAAGACAATCTAATATCAACTAATCAAACACTCAGTTGTAAATTGGGGCATGGAAGAAAGCAG